ATCAAACTTTGGCCTGCGGTAAAACAAAAATATGACCTCAGTTTGGAAAACTGACATCATGGGAGGGCCTGATGGACTATTATGAAACATTTCAGTACTCCTGCCTTCCACCCCTAACTCTGGTGATTGGGTGAGTGAAGGACTAACTGACACCTCTAAAAAGTCCATAAAAGTCTGTTGCATCAGCAATTTGGAGCTCTCCTTTACCATCAAAATTAATAACATCGACCAAGTCTTATTTCATGAGAGCCAAAATGCTCTAAATTTTGGATCTCTGACAGAACCCAAAGAACCCAGGATGTTGGTTAAAGTGGGATTAATTGATATCCTTTTGTCCAAAAATAATCCATACACATCTACTACAGTTGCAAGAAAAAGTATGTGAGCCCCTTGGGATTACGTGGAGTTTTACATGAATTGGGCATAAAATGTGCTCTGAACGTCATCTAAGTCACAACAATAGAAGAACACAGTCTGCTGAACATAATACTACACAAACATTAGATGTTGCCATGGTTTAATTGCACATAACATATAAACATTCACAGTGCAGGGAGGAAAAAGTATGTGAACCTTTGGACTTAATAACTGGTTGACCCTCCTTCGGCAGCAATAACCTCAACCAAACATTTCCTGTAGTTGCAGATCAGACCTGCACAACGATCTGGAGTCATTTTGGAGCACTCCTCTTCACAAAACTCTTTCAGTGTAGCAATATTCTTGGGATGTCTGGTGTGAAGCGCTCTCTTAAGGTCATGCCACAGCATTTCAATCGGGTTGAGGTCAGGACTCTGACTGGGCCACTCCAGAAGGCGTATTCTGTGCTGTTGCAGCCATTGTTTTGTTGAATTACTTGTATGCTTTGGGTCATTGTCCTGTTGCATCACCCATCCTCTGCGGAGCTTCAGTTGGTGGACAGATGGTCGTACGTTTTCCTGCAAAATGTCTTGATAAACTCTGGAATTCATTTTCCCATCAATGACAACAATCCATCCAGGCCCTGAGGCAGCAAAGCAGCCCCAAACCATGATGCTCCCTCCGCCATGTTTTACAGTGGGGATGAGGTTTTGATGTTGGTGTGCTGGGCCTTTTTTTCTCCACACATAGTGTTGTGTGTTCTTCCCAAACAACTCAATCTTGGTTTCATCTGTCCACAGTATATTTTGCCAGTAGTGCTGTGGAACATCCAGGTGCTCTTTTGCAAACTTCAAACGTGCTGCAATATTCTTTTTGGACAGCAATGGCTTCCTCTGTGGTGTCCTCCCATGTACTCCATTCTTGTTTAATGTTTTCCTTATTGTAGATGTGTCAACAAAAATGTTAGCATGTGCCAGAGATTTCTGTAGGTCTTTAGCTGACACTCTGGGATTCTTCTTTACCTCATGCAGCATTCTGCGCTGTGCTCTTGCAGTCATTTTTACAGGATGACCACGCCTAGGGAGAGTAGCAACAGTGCTAAACTTTCTCCATTTGTAGACAGTCTCTCTTACCGTGGACACATGAACATCAAGGCTCAAGGAGATACTTTTGTAACTCTTTCTAGCTTCATGCAAGTCAACAATTCTAGATCTTAGGTCTTCTGAGAGCTCTTTTCTGTGAGGCATGGTTCACATCAGACAGTGCTTCTTGAAACCAGTAAACCCAAAACAGGTGTGTGTTTTTTAAGGGCAGGACAGCTGTCAGCAACACATCCAATATCATCACACTGATTGGAGTCAAGGTTGGCTCACTACTGGCTCCAATTAGCTTTGGGAGAAGTCATTAAGCTAGGGCCTCACATACTTTTTCCTCCTGCACTGTGAATGTTTACATGTTATGTGCAATTAAACCATGGCAACATCTAATGTTTGTGTAGTATTATGTTCAGCAGACTGTGTTCTTCTATTGTTGTGACTTAGATGACGTTCAGAGCACATTTTATGCCCAATTCATGCAAAACTCCCCGTAATCCCAAGGGGTTCACATACTTTTTCTTGCAACTGTACTTAATTGCTCTGTAATCTATTTTTCATTAAATATTTTTTTACTGTGGTTTTTAAATCAGCAGTGCAGGTAGTTGTGGTCATGTGTACTGCTCTGTGCACACTACACATCCCATAGTCTATAGTTCCTAGTCCATCTCAGGAGCCAGAAAGAGAGAGTCGCTACATTCCTGTATACAGTGTGACCATGGAGTATGAACATAGCCACTCTCTTACAGGTAGTTGTATCACAACTACAAAAGAAAAAGGGGATTTGGAGCAGACTGCAAGCAATAGAAGGTACTTTTTTGAGTTAAGAATACATAATTAAATACACTGCTAAAAAAAAGGAATATTTTGAAAACACATCAGATCTCAATGAGGAAAAATATCATGTTGGATATCTATACTGATATGGACTGGGTAATGTGTTAGGAAAGTAAGGATGCCCCATCATTTGATGGAAATGAAAATTATCAATCTACAGAGGACTGAATTCAAAGACACCCCGAAAATCAAAGTGAAAAAAGTGCAACCTGGTGGCATCGGATGGACTGAAACATGATATCCTAGAAGTGTTCTATTGGATTTAGGTCAGGCGAGCATGGGGGCCATTCAATGGTATCAAAGCCTTCATCCTCCAGGAACTGCCTGCATGCTCTTGCCACATGAGGCCAGGGATTGTCCTGCACTAGGAGGAACCCAGGACCCATTGCATCAGCGTAGGGTCTGACAATGGGTCCAAGGATTTCATCCCAATACCTAATGGCAGTCAGGGTGCCATTGTTTAGCCTGTAGAGATCTGTGCGTCCCTCCATGGATATACCTCCCCAGATCTTCACTGACCCACCACCAAAACAGTCATGCTGAAAGATGTTACAAGCAGCATAGTGTTCTCCATGGCTTCTCCAGACCCTTTCCCGTCTGTCACATGTGCTCAGGGTGAACTTGCTCCCATCTGTGAAAAGCACAGGGTGCCAGTGGCGGACCTGTCAATTTTGATGATCAATGGCAAATGCCAATCAAGCTCTATGGTGTCAGAAAGTGAGCACAGGGCCCACTAGAGGATGTTGATCCTTTAAGACACCCTCAGGAAGTCTGTTTTTGATTGTTTGGTCAGAGACATTCACATCAGTGGCCTGCTGGAGGTCATTTTGTAGGGCTTTGGCAGTGTTCATCCTGTTCTTCCTTGCAAAAAGGAGCATATTCCGGTTCTGCTGATGGGTTAAGGACCTTCTACAGCCCTGTCCAGCTCTCCAGGAGTAACTGCCTGTCTCCTGGAATCTCCTCCATGCTCTTGAGACTGTGCTGAGAGACATAGCAAACCCTGGCAATGGCGTGTATTGATGTACCAACCTGGAGGAGTTGGACTGCCTGTGCAACCTCTGTAGGGTCCAGGTATCACCTCATGCTACACTGACTATAGCCAAATGCAAAACTAGTGGAAAACAGTCAAAAAAGATGAGTAGGGAAAAAATGTCAGTGGCCTCCACTTGTAAAGCCAATCCTGTTTTGGGGTCGACTCATTGTTGCCCATCTAGTGCGCCTGTTGTTAATTTCATTAACACCAAAGCAGCTGAAACTGAATAACAACCCCCTCTGCTACTTAACTGACCAGATCTTAGGAGTTTAATTGACTTGATGTTATACTCTGATTATATAGTGTCCCTTTAATTTGTTTGAGCAGTATATATTTTTTAATTAGAGTTTATTATCAGTTTAAGTGCTTTCATTTATAATATCTTTTTTTGCTGTTGTAATATGATCCTCTATCTGTTGTAATGTATTTTTATCTGTAAATATTTTTCGTTACCATTTTTCCTTTTTTTTACTAAACACCATTTTAAAATCATTAAATCTTATCTCTAAATGCTCTAAAGAATAACTAAATGAATCCGTGGTTTTTAAGACGTGCTACTTATTGCAAATCTCTAGATATTACTCTCTGGTATAAGAGTGAGTATTACGGGGTTAACTGCATAGTTAACTAGTTCCAGTCTGTGGGCACTTAGATTGGGGTCTTGTGAGTTGGCAAATCTCTGTGTAGTAGGAGTCTGAGAACACTATCATCATGTACTGTTGGCAGCATGATGACATTTGACCTGCTGTCTGTGTCAGGGATCTGGGTATGACCAGAGATGTGTGGACTGACACAGGAAACAGCAGGCTTCTGGAACACAGGCGTAGTCAGGCTGGAGAGGTGGAATGGTCAGGCAGGGCTGTAAGGTAGTGTCAGGCACCGCCCGGAGGGATCTCTAGTAACCCACAGAACAGGATTCCCCAGGGCACGGTGTCTAAGCCCCAGTCTGCCTTTTCACCAGAGCCCCTGATGGTGGGGATGGACTTGGCGCAGGACTGAGACCAGGTCGCGGCCCCTGAGTGCACCCAACTGTGGTAGAGGGGTCCGCTGAGGGTATGTACCAGGGGAAAACCTGATGTGAAGGGGCTGGCAGTTTCGGACAGTAGTGACTGGATCCGTGCGGGATGGATGGATGACAGTATGGAGTGTAGTGTAGTCAGACAAGCCGGGTCGGTAATGGTGGAGGCAGATCAGTACAAAGCAGCAGGCAAAGAGTAAATGGGTCACGAGCCAAGGTACAGCAACAGGAGGTCAAACAGCATAGGAGTAGGCAGAAGAATAGTCAGGGACGAGCCATGAGTCAGAGCAGGAGAAGTCAGCAGAGGTCAGGATCAGGCAGGGTCGGCAACAAATCAGATAGGCAGAGGAACAGGAACACAGGATACAAGGTACAGGGGCTCATGGGAAACAACACCAAGGCACTGATCACAGGCCTGGTCCTGCTTAAATACACCTCCTGCAATCAGCCTCAGGTGATGGCTTGATTGCTGGAGTGAGATTCTGGCTGCTGAGAGCACCCGCTGGCCAGCCTTGGTACTGCAGCCAACAAGGCAGGTGAGTCCCACCACCATTGGCGAGTCCATTCCTGACAGTCTGTCACGTATTGGTTTCTGAGGCTTGGATCTGACACCACTCTCGCCACAACTTGGATTGAAAAGGATCTAATATATTGAGTTGTCACCAGGGGCGGACTGCCCATTTGGAAACTCGGGCACTGCCCGAGGGCCCGGGGTCAGTAGGGGGCCCCATGAGATGCCCCTGGTACATTTTTCATAGGCTTTTTTGAGCTTGGGCAAGGACACAGGGGCCCCATGATCCCCTATTGCCCCGGGGGCCCCATGAGTTGTCAGTCCGCCCCTGGGTGGAATATTCAGCTTCGCCCTGGAATGGATTTTAAAAAGGTTCTAGAGGCATAAGGTGTTTTACCCCATGCATTGTCAGTCCACCCCTGATCCAGTGATCAGCTTTAGTACAACCTGCGTGCCAGATCTTTTGTATGTGATTACTGCTGGGGGGGGCTATAGCTGCTAGCAGTAATCATTGTGTCATTATTGTAGGCAGGGGTGGACTGACCATTTGGGCCCAGGGTCAGTAGGGGGGCCCCATGAGATGCCCCTGGTACCTTTTTCATAGGCTTTTTTGAGTTTGGGCAAGGACACAAGGGCCCCATGATCCTCTATTGTCTGGGGGCCCCATGAGTTGTCAGTCCGCCCCTGGTTGTCACTAGAACAGGAATAAAGAGGAAATCTTCCAGTGAGGACATATGTTGCAGTGACATCTATCTGGAAGTCCTTGTCTTTGGAGAAATTTCCTCTGACTTCCCGATGTATATGTGGAACTGGAAGAAAAGGGAATCTCCTTGTTGGGATATAGACAGAAAAAAAACTAACAGGTTGTAATACTTTCCTAATCAATCAAAAAAGTACATTTAGATATATTTTATGAAGAAACATATCATCTCACTGCATCAGACATATATCAGTGTGGTACACACAGGGTGATCAGGGAAAGGCTATGCTTTTTTCTATGTTATTCCAATGCCAGAGGGACATGTGAATTTTTTCACAATTCTCTGACAAGTTTAAATCGGAAAGTCTACACACTGTAACAGAAAGTCTATGTTTACTTTTATATGTCTAAAAAAAAATCAGCTCAAATATAGATGCAAGTTCATGCCAAAATCTTAAACATGACAATGAAAAATAATCAGGTAGAGCATGCAGAATTTACAGTATATATAGACTTACAGTATTCTCTCAAACTGCATTTTGTATTAACGTGTCATTGGCTATATATTTTATATTTTTAAAGTTTCCTTTGGTTTGAAATATAACCTAGAACGTGAATAAAGAAATATTAATGAAATCTGTATTTTAATTTTAACAGAGCATACTTTATTCACAATGAAACCATTTTGTAGAACGAAAGTTAATTTCTTGGCTCAAGAATTAAGCTGCTCGTAATGTAGCGTTTCCTTTACGTCTCTGTTGTTAAACGGGGAAGCAAGAAATGGAGACTAATTCAATCCTCATAGCTCATGTAAAACTGTAACTTCCATGTTGACATGATTTACTCAGTGTTTTCCAGACTTATGCTGCCCAGAAAGGCCTGATCTATTGCCACAGTGAGAGGATGGAAAGCTAACCGAGATGCAAACCAATCTTCAAACCAACTGCTATAGTAATTCATTTAAATGCCCTTCTGAGTGACATTAGAACTCTTACATCCTCCCAAAAGAACACATTTAATAGCAAGCATTTGCAATGAAAACCCGAACAAAGATTTTTAAAGAGATTATTTTATCTGACAACTTTCAGTTTGGTTTTCTAGTAGACACCCTAGAGTATGGTTCGCCCTGTTCTATATGTCTAAGCATTCCACGGCATATGGCTTTTCAAATAAAGTATGAAAAACATATTTAAAAGTATCATATTGTTCAGCATTAGCTATATTGCTCTGATGTGGTAACACACAACAGGGAAAAGTGTTAACTCACTTCAACCACAACATTATTTCATAACAATCAGCAGTTGTCTTTAATGTTTGATGTTTTACTGAATATAGATCTTGTACTTGTCAATGCTTGATTTAAAAATTCACATATAGCCCCAAAGGTTACATTGTATCTACACATGTGACATAAAGCCATACAGTTAATTAACAGAATAGAAATAAAAACTTTATGAGCAAGCGACTGTGGTATTTCATTCATATCTGCAGCTTGGTTCTGCATAGAACCGATTTAATTACAATTATGACTGTATTCTGTGAAAAATGGAATTCTGTTTGCTTTACTAACATAAAAGTCACATAAACATATAAGAGTTGTGACTGCATACTGAGTATTACCCATCTCCTAGATTGTAAGCTGCAAAGAGCAGGGCCCTCAATCCCCTCATGTTTTGCATTGTATTGGTATTGTTCTGTCACATGTTCTGTCCCCCTTTGTAATGTACAGCGCTGAGCGAACTATTGGCACTTTATAAATACTGTATAATAATAATAATCTTACCTTTATTGGTCAATACACAGACCATATGAACTTTCCCTCTGGCACCATTCGCCCCTCAGGGCTTTGTCATAGATTAAGCTCTGAGGGGTGAAATGCAAAGGAGGGAAGGGTTCTTGTGATCTGTGTATTGAATACAAAATGTAAGAAGGATTATACTCGATTTGCAGCCACTATGCCTGTATGTGGTCTAAGAAAAGCCCTGGGGAGTCAGCAACTAAAGGTGGAGTAGATGGATAACAGGATCATCACTTCTTCCACACTTGATAAACATCCTCAAACCCTTGATAATATAGTAAACATTAAACAATGCATACATATGTAGACATTTTAACAAATCTGTATGGATACCATTGTTGCTAGGACCATTGGCTTTGACTCATAGAAGCTTCATAATATGAGTTGTTTCCTAAAGGTTTTAAAGGCATTCTGTCCCCTAGCTAACACATAAAATCATGAACAACAAATTCATATGCAGTAAGGAAAGGCAGCTTCTCACCGAATCCTCTATGGCAGGCAGGGGCGGACTGACAACTCATGGGGCCCCCGGGCAATAGGGGATCATAGGGCCCCTGTGTCCTTGCCCAAATTCAAAAAAGCCTATGAAAAAGGTACCAGGGGCATCTCATGGGGCCCTTCTACTGACCCCGGGCCTTCGGGCAGTGCCCAAGTTTCCAAATGGTCAGTCCGCCCCTGCTCCTTACACTTTAGAAGTTCACACTGTATGGTCACTTGGATTATTTATACTCACAGAGTGACTCCTGGTCAGTCCGCCCCTGATGACAGGTATTTGATTTATAATGCAGACTAATGATTAACCCCTTCATGCCTAAGGGTAAAACAAATCTTAACACCTAAGCACGATTCTGCAACGTTGACATGTGTTAGTAAAACTGTACACATCATCACAACTACTTTGTACATCCAGGTGAATTATACCTTGTTTTTTTTCAGGACAACATGGGCTTTCATTTGGTGGTAAATGGTAATGGATATCTCCTGATTTTTTTTATTATCAAACGAAAACTGGCCCAAAAGAGTAAAAAAAAAAACAAATTTTTTTTAAAATTTAGCTGTGTGTTTCTTGTTACTACCATAACCTACCACCAAAGAATAACCCACAATAAATTTTCCAGCTCTTGACGATCGCAGCGATACTATATATATGTATGTTATATGTTGTTTGTACTTGTACTACAGCCCAGAAACAATAGTGTGCATTTTGTTTTGTTTTTTTTTAACCTAAAACACTCTGATACTAACTAACACTGACACCAATTAAAATTAAAAAAATAAAAATCCTGACCTTTGACCCTGACCTTGACCCAAACACTAACCCTGGCACTGAACTAGATCAAACCTTGATCTAGGTATTTTTTCTTTATTTTTTTCTTTTTTTTTAAATATTTTTTTTTTTTAATAAACAGTTCTTTTTTTTTTTCTCTGCAAGGAGAGAGATGGATACGATGTATGTCTCTCCTCCTTTCAGAGAGAAAAAAAAGCAATGGGGGGCAGGCTTCACAGTGACTGATCATTGAGAGCCAATCAGAGGCTATCACAGTGATCAAGTGATCCAGAATCAGGAGTCCTGGGTCCCGATTGTTAGAATAGGACCCAGGGCTTTAAGTAACACCCTGTTCTTTGTGCTGGGAGTGAGCTGTACGGCGCGCTCCCAGCACAAAGACAGGTACGCAAATGTGTGGCCCCACGGAAAAAAGCCCAGTTCTGTGAGGCCGCATATTTGTGTGATGTCGGTGTCAAGGGGTTAAGTTGGAGCTTAAAACTGTACTTGCTGTACCTGCTGTTTGTGCATGACTTTATTCAGTAGGCACCAGGGGCGGACTGACAACTCATGGGGCCCCCGGGCAATAGGGGATCATGGGGCCCCTGTGTCCTTGCCCAAACTCAAAAAAGCCTATGAAAAAGGTACCAGGGGCATCTCATGGGGCCCCCTACTGACCCCGGGCCCTTGGGCAGTGCCCGAGTTTCCAAATGGTCAGTCCGCCCCTGGTAGGCACATTCTTTATTCATGAGAAGAGAGTATAAAATCGGGGTTATGGTACAACATGACTCCTTTGTATAGACCTGTCACCTAACAGAAGAGAGATACGTCACTCACACAAGGTTGATGCAGCTGCTATGACAGTAAAAGGTCTCCACTTCCATTGGAATGCACCAGAACAGTTACGGGGTTTTTTACTTTGTCTACTGTTGGTACTTGCGGTGTTTCAAACAAATGAATGCAAACCACATGAAATGGACATAGGCATCTTTATGTGGTTTCAATTTGTTTGTTGTGCATTCATCAGGCTCATTTCAGCTGAATTAGTTCTTGCTGAAAGCATGACAAACACATCAAAAACCATGGATTTTCAAGCAGCTTTCATGTTTTGATCCTTGGTCATGCACACTTCAAAAGTGGGTACACAAGAGCATCAGCACTCTAAAAAAGATCACAATAGGCACTGACATGTAATGAATTTGAAAAGGAAATGTCTAAGACAGATTGGAACAAGGCACATTATACTGGGTGATTCATGACTGCTAGCTTTTCAGATCACCTAATCTTACACAACAACATTGTTAACGAATTTATCTTCAGAATTCAACACACTTAGGTAAACACTTTATGTTATAATTGGACATGTTACAATTTTTGTCTTCAAAAAGAACTATAGACAAACAGATAAATAGAACGTTTCAAATACATACTGTATATGTGAACTTTCTTACCTGCCAAGGGATTTGGAAGTCTGGCTATGGTGCCTGGATCACAAGCATAATTATACAGACGGCATATCCAAGCCAGTACCATCACTTATTTTCTATTTTGCAATTAAGCAATTCAAACTTGTCACTGACAACCCCAGGCTGATGACTGAACATTGAAGAATCCTCACCATACCAGAAGGGCCATCACTCTGCTCTCCCCAACTGTCATGAAACTCCCAGTGTTAGGCTGACAGACTTATCAATATAATAGAGCCTTACATGCTTGTCATTCTGCCCCTCCTACCCTAAGCCCATGTTATACTGTGAACAATTATATCATAAGGGTATGCGCTAATAATAAATTATATAAATATATCTATCACCAGATATAAAGTGACCAAAAAATAAATAAATAAATAAAATATCCAAAAAACATAAGGTGTGTGATATAATTATAATGTCCAAAAACAATATATAAATATATCTATTAGTGTCCAAAAATAATTATCTTCAGTGACTTCATAACACTGTGACAAATCCACCACCAAAAACGATTGAATGAACTCACCAGAGCTATTTGCTGGTCGAATTATAAACCAGCAACAGCGCTTCTGCTCTGGGAGCGATGAATAATGATGTCCAATTAGTAGATGTAGTAATACTCAATCACTTTCCAAGTAATCAATAATAGTAAGCAGCCTGTTATACTGTGCAGGATATTGCAGGAGGCTGATATAGAGACATTGGGCATGTGTACCAGCTCTATTTAAAATATATTTACAGGTTTTTTTAGTGAGAAAACCAAACCAAAAGTTAAATCACAGAACCACACACTGAACCCATGTAACCTGTACTGAGACTCGAGTGGATGAAGCTGTAAAAAATCACCAGTGGAGCCAGGTGTATATTGTAACACAAACCAAAAAAAAAAATAAACAGCACAACTGTCAAGGTCCTACCTTTTCCCAGAGGTTATGTTTCTCCATGTGCTGGCATCCATCTTGGATTTCTGCTGAGCATGGTGGGAATCCTTTATGCCTTCAGGTCTCTGAGGTCCATCCCCCAGAGGGGTGTGGCTGATGACATATAAGCCTGTGGTCCGCACATGCTCTTTGCACTTGTGTCTTTGTGTTGCTGTTACTCTGTTCTGACTCTCGTGACTCTCCTGGAATCTGACTCGGCTTGTGACTCGACTATTGTTTGCGTTCTCCTTTGATCTGACCCTCTGTTGCTGAACCCGGCTCGTGACCTGTGATTCTCGTCTGCTGTCCTGTACCGTTTAGTCCCGTTGTTGTTGACCCGGCCTGCCTGACTACTCTATTGTCTTTTCCACCAGCTATACGCCATTGGCGGCGGCCATTACCGCAACTGAGGTGTCTCGGGGGCCGCGACCTGGTTCCTGGCTGCGTCAAGTCCATCCCCACCATCAGGGGCCCTGGTGAAGGGCAGCCTGGGACTTAGACTCCGCGCCCTGAGGGACTTCGGTCTGTGGGTGGTGGTTGTCGTCAGCCAGTGCGTAGCTGGTGGAAAAGACAATAGAGTAGTCAGGCAGGCCGGGTCAACAACAATGGGACAAAACGGTACAGGACAGCAGACGAGAATCACAGGTCACGAGCCGGGTTCAGCAACAGAGGGTCAGATCAAAGGAGAATGCAAACAATAGTCGAGTCACAAGCCGAGTCAGATTCCAGGAGAGTCACGAGAGTCAGAACAGAGTAATAGCAACACAAAGACACAAGACACAAGTGCAAAGAGCATGTGCGGGCCACAGGCTTATATGTCATCAGCCACACCCCTCTGGGGGATGGACCTCAGAGACCTGAAGGCATAAAGGATTCCCAGAAATCCAAGATGCATGCCAGCACATGGAGTAACATAACCTCTGGGAAAAGATAGGACCTTGACAACAACCCCCCCATATTTTGTATGATGGTAAGTAACAGTTATTTTAAGTGTGAGTCTGTAGAGAATACTGGCAGTGGACAGGAAACCCGAAAGGACTAAGACCATTGAGATCTAAGCTTGCATGGAACCAACCTGGTGGATTATGTGTAACTGACAGGAGAACAAGGGAACTCCAATTAGTAGTAAACAAACAGTTTACTAAACACACATTTTTTTTTTTTACTTAAGTCCGCGAACGTGCGAAAAACGAAAAAAAAAAAACCGTAAGTGTACAAAAAAAAACGTGCAAGTGCAAAAACACAAAAAAAGTGCACTTAGGGGTGTGCTTTGTCCATCCCCCAAAGGGGATGGATCTCTACCCTGATCCCCGGGGGCACGAAGCTCCTGACAGGGACAAGGTTCCCATGTGGTCCACCTAGCCAAAAGGCCTGGCGGACCCCGTTCCTTGTGGCCAGCCGAAGCCAGCCACCAAGTACTTGGTAATGGGGCTCTCCCGAAGAGAAAAAACCCCTAGGGAAAGGGGAGGAAGGAACCAAAAGGCCACAAATCCTACCCCTAGACTGAAGGGTAGGCCCGAGCACCCACACCCTACCATCCTGTGAGAAAGAAAACACACACAAAAGTGAAAAGTGACAAACGTGAGGAGAAAAATAAATTAAATAAATAAGTGGCCGTGCAATTGGGCATGAAAAGTGTTAGAATCAGTGACCATGTGCCTTTTCACACATTGGGGTCCCACACCCAAGTGTTACTAAGAGCACCCCTGAGGGACCACTCTCAGGGGGCACTGGTTTGCGGACTTTCTGCCTCTCCGGCCCCTGGTCAGACAAGGTAGATCCATTCAAACCAGGAGGAACTGGGCCCCTCCAGTTTTCCAGGGGGAATTACTCCCGGGCAACAGCAGCCTGTGGGTGCCTCGGTTTCTGTTCCAGCCTGTACTAACCATCAGGACCCCCATCCTACCAGCAGGGGTACTATACAACCAATCATCCCCTCAAGCAGGAATGATGGTGGAGCACCCCTACTGGACACTGATAAGGACAGATACTGCACTTGATCTTAGCCAAAAGGCCGAGAAGTTTACTAAACACACATTATCGACTTACATGTAAACTCAGCTGTGAGTGTCTAGGGAGAGGGCTCCAAATGGATGGTGCCAATCCAACAACACTACTCCTGGCCGGGGAGAAGAAAGCCAAAGACGGGATCTCTGAGAGATAGTCTCTGTCTTTGAGCCGCTGCAGCATGACTTTCCTCTGGCTGTGCATCTCTCAGAGATTCAGCCTTTGGTTTTTGTATGTGGTACCCCCTCTAGATACTCACAGCTGAGTTTACATGTAAGCGGATATTGTGTTTTAATAAAATTCTTGTTTACTACTAATTGGAGTTCCCTTGTTCTTTAGTCAGTTACATAATCTACCAGGTTGGCTCCATCAAGCTTGGATCCTGATTGTGTTAGCCTGTTCAGGTTTCCACTCCATTACCAGTATACTCTACAGACTCAAGCTTGTGGATTGGACCCTATAATGGCAGTCACTTACCATCATTTAGTGGAGAGGTTGGCGATGTTTAGTCTTTTGGTTTAGATTTTTCAGTGAATAAATACATTTAATTGGTGGTTCAGTAAAAGCACTTATGCAGGCCATAGACGGGGAGAAAATTTGTCTGAAAGAATAATCGCCGATTTTCAGATCGTTAGTGGGTGAATTTGTCGGCAGTTTTTCGTGATTCTGATACATTTTTTTAATCGGTGAAGTTGGAAAAAAAAAAAAAACAGCCGAATTTGCCGATCCAACGATTTTCACGGCAATGATGGGCAAATCGGCCGATCTTTTTACTGATTAAAAAAATGAGCCGTGACCTGCAAGAAGAAGAGGAAAAAGAAGAAACAGAAGAAGATGAAGACAAAAGAAAAAGAACATCTGTACTTTTAAATGTCAACTAGAATAGTGGAGTGTCCCTGCAGAGAGCTCCGTCCGCTATTATATTTGACATTTAAAAGTATAGCAAAGTTGCAACATTGTATCCATTTGTATCCAAATAGAAACATCTGTATCTGAAATGGATACAAATAGATACAATGTTGCAACTTTGCTATACTTTTAAATGTCAAATATAATAGCGGATGGAGCTCTCTGCAGGGACACTTCACTATTATATTTGCCAGCCGTAGATGGGACGAAAATCAGCCGACTTTTGTTTACCAATGGTGGTAACGTCGGCTAATTGAACGACCGATTTTTCGTTTTTCTAAAAAAAAACGTCCGGTTTTCTCCCCGTCTATGGCCTGCATTAGGTTGCACTAGGCAAGCATAGCACCTGACAATTATTAACCTAGCAAGAGAAAAAGTACTGTATATATTAGGCTTCCTGGCCTGCAGAATTGAAGTGAAGATATCCAGATACAGCTGGCTTGAAGTAAGGGCACATCAATTCATGGCTAGATCATAGACCTAGGTATGGAAAAGTAAATTAGAATCGATGGTTGGTTAGTTGAAAACTAGAGCACAACTAAAGCTGTGTACCCCCCCCCCCCCCCCACACACACACACACACACACACTTCTCATTCA